TCCACTCTGTCCTCTACGGGCATTGTGAGTCAGAACCCACTCCCCGGCAGTGGGTTTGGGTTGGGTTTTGCTTCTGTAAAGATTGACAGCCTTGGACACCCTGTGGGGCAGTTCTGCTCTGCCCTTCAGGGGTGCTGTGGGTTGAAATTGACTTGATAGCAGTGGGTTTATTTTGGGTGAATTCCACTAAATGCTGAGTCATGAGTCTACCTAATGAATCACTGGACCTCAGGTGGTCTTGGGACCCTCGACACAGCTGTTTACAGATAGCAGCAGTGATCCAGCCCCAACAATGTTCCCTTTAATTACTGGCAATGACGCTGAGGATCAGAAAGTCAGCTTAAAATCTTGTGTGTGGGTCATAGTGAATAATACACTGGCCTTCGATGACACCCTGGCTGTTTAAGATGAGGTGCTCCCAGTGGTGCGAACAATTAAGGCATTCACTGCTAATCAAGCAGCTGGAGGGTCGAGTCTATCCAGTGGCACCTCAGAACACCTGGCAGTCTCCTTCCAAGATCTCAGCCCCAGAAACTGCCCCGGAGCACAGCTCCATGCTGATGCACGTGGGGTTGTTGTGACGCGATGGCAACTGGTCTGGCTTTTTGGGGGGCTTACAGTAAGACCCACTGGTTCCCCAGGAGCCCAGGGCCCTGGAAGGCATTGCTGAAATCTGTTCTGTAGGCTGGCCTCACCCCGCTGCCTGCGTCCTATGGTTCCAGCCTAAATGCTGGAAGACTGACTGCCATAAAGGCCCGCCAGACGTGATCTGAATGAAAAGCTGTCATCCCTGCCTTAGATGCTGCTGTAATGTGTCCAGGATGCCGCATTTTTATGACTCTGGGACCACGGTCAGTGGCCTAGCCATCTGGTCTATCACTTGGAAGCCTACAGACTTGCAGATTAAAGACATGTCCAGCCCTCTCTGGGGCCACAAAACAGAAACAAATTGTGGCTGTCAGTTGGACAGTGTGAGTCACACATGTGGATGTCATTCTCTCTGAGACAAAGGTTATGTAGCTGCTGATGGAGCCTCTAGCCCCCAGGTCACTGCCATTGCCGCCTAGATGCACCATGTACCAGACGCCTCTGCTGCTGACTGCCACCGAGTAAAGCTCTCTGGTTCAGCTCCCTGGAGTCTCCTGCAGGACTGGCACTGACTTTGACCATGAGAATAATGGCCACTAGGCTGAGTACACTGCTCGCCACGTCCCCTGAGAGGGGCCTACGTGGGCCAAGATGGGAGACTCAATGGGTCTCTGGAAGACACGCACTTGCCCATCTCCCACTCACCTCAGACCTTCTAGGTGACAGTCTAGCTGAGCGTAGGAGATGGCCTGAGACAACGTGAGATTATAGCGCTCGGACATCTGGAAGGGCATGCCTCAGGCCTGAGAGGGGCTGGAGGCAGGTAGGGAGCAATTAATGCTGCCTCTGTCTCTTAGAACCTGCACAGCAACCTGGCACAACAACTCAGGGTCTCCCAAGGGCCAGTGGCAGCTGCTGTGGACCATATGACCTGCCGTTGGGTTTGTCATCCCCGTCCATGTGATATGAAAACAAGCCAACTCACACAGATGTGGTCACTGTGCCGGGTACCACCAACGGTGGCTCTCGGGTGTGCTCCGTATGCAGACAGGCCAACGAGACCTGTGCTCCACCTGAGGCTAGGAATCCATCTGCATCTCTGGACACATGATGGCTTGGGGTGATGCCAGCTAGGTGACTAAGGCTACACCTCCTCGTTGACAGCGCCCCCATGGCCCAACAAAACAGTGGAACCAGATCAAATATAACTCCAAGTCCTGAGTGGGAGTGAGCTGTGGGCAAAAGGCTGGGGTTCACTTTCACGCAGAGTGCCTGAGCAGGCCTGGTGACCCGCCTCCAAACACTCAGCCACTGGCAGGCCCACGGAGCACAGCTCTGCTCTGACACACGTAGGGTTGTCACGACTTGGTGGCCAACTGGGTTGGCTTTTTAACCGACTGGTCCCCTGGGAGTCCAGGGTCCTGGAGGACACATCTGAAGTCTGAGCTGCAGGCTGGCCTCACCCTGCTGCCTGAACTCCTGTGCCTATAGCCTTAATCAATGCAGTATGAAACCAACTGAATGGACTTGGTCCCAGACTCTACAGTCAAACTCACCAGACAGAAGAGCACACTCAAGTGAGTATGTGAGTTTGGCCAAGGGCTGAGGGGTGGGTTGCTGGGGGCAGCAATCTGCCAGAGGCCTGAGCAATCCCTGAGTGTGTGGCCCTGACCTGACCACACTTCACCTGGGTCATTTCTAGGACTGCGTTTGCAGAGAGCAACCTGGCAGGATAAGGCAGCGTCTCCCCTGCAACTAAGAGCAGGCAGGTTACCGCTTACTGTGCTGTTGTGAGTTGCTGTCAAGTGAGCCCGGACTTGCGGCACCCCATACACAATGGAACACGACACCGCCTGGTCCTGGCCGTCCCCACGATTGGTGGTGGTGGTGGATCAGACTGAGGGGACCCGTAGGGGCTCACTGGCTGCCTTTTGGAAGTAGGTCACCAGGCCTTTCTTCCTGGTCAGCCTTACTCTGGAAGCTCTGCTGAAACCCATTCAGCATCACGGCAACACGCGGGCCTCCTCGAACAGATGGGTGGGGGCTGCACACGAGCCGAGTGGACTGGGAATGGAACCAGGTCCCCTGCATGGAAGGCGAGAATTCTACCACCGCCCACCACTGCCCTCCTGCCACACAACATAAAAGCACGGCATTTCCCGGGCTCGGTGAGCCTCAGCTGTGATGCAAACCTACTGCGTGTGCAACATTCCTCTGGGCCCCTCCGTGTCAGTCCAAGGGGACTCGGAGGACAAGGGGAACCCACACCACCATGCTGACACTCTGGCTACTGCTTCTACAGCTGCTACAGCTTCTACAGCTTCTACAGGAAGAGTCATGTCTCATTGTCTTCTGCCAGCAGCCCCAAGGCAGTAATGGGCTAGCTTGTGAACCTGCAAGCAGGGTAAGGGCCTAGCCCCCTCACAGACTCTGCCTGCCCTCCCTACGCCAAGGGTGAGCCAGGCCAGCCCTCCGGCCTCCCACGCAGCCCCTCCTTCTGCTCTCCCGGCCTTGCCACCTCTGACCCCTCCACCCTCCACTTCATGTGTCCCCGTCTGTGTCCCACCCTGCAGCCTCTGGGGCTCAGAGCCCATCTCGGCCCTGGACTGTGGGGACTACAAGAATGTGGATGGAGCCAGGTCGCACCTCGGAGGCTCAAGAGCAGGGCAGAGTGTGGCCTGAGCTCCCCCAACGTGGGGCACCTGCTGTGCACTGAGATGTTGGGTTGATCGCCTCACGACTGTCCCCTAAAGCCAGATGCAAACTCCATGGACAGACAGGCAGTCTGAAGCTAGGAGAAGCTAAGGTCAAAAGGCACAGTGCATGTGTTCTGGGTCCTGGACCCAGCACTATTCTGTTCCAAATCCAAGGCCCCAGTGCTGCCCCCAGCCCCTACCAATGACCCAGCAGAGGCAGAGAGAACGTGGCCATGCCTGCCACTCACCTCGGTGCGGTCCACCTTAAATGGGTTCTGGAAGTCGGAGTCTTTCTCGCTGATGCCCAGCTCCTGTGCCATCTGTGCACAAAGAAAAGCTGGTTGTGTCTGCGCTCTGCCTCCTGCTCGCTCACAAGCCACTCCTTCCACACCAGGACCCTGCCCGAGGCTTGGGCAGATGTGGGCCCAGTGACGCCGCCTAGGGATCCGGGTCAGCCCAGTGCCTTGAGAGGGCCTCTGTGACCAGGACGCCCTGTGGCTCATTAGAGAAACAGCCAGGAATCAACGTTCAGGCCCCACTGGGGGTAATGACAGGCTTGCAGCCCCCCACCCACACGCTCCTCCACCCACACGCTCACCAGGCCGAGGATGGGCGAGTGGGGCCCCTGGTCGAAGACGCCCGTCTGGTTGCAGAAGCTGATGCCCCAGCGGATGAGCAGGTTCCAGTTGGAGTTGTGATCGAAATAGTGGTGCACGATCCTGGGGAAGCGCAGGACCACGTCGCCGAAGAAGGCCGTGTTCTCCACCACATGCGAGAAGGCTGGGCGAGAGGAGCCTGAGTGGCCAGGCTGCTGCCCCACCACCCGCCACAGGGAGACCCCAGCCATGAACCGGACAAGGGGTCAGTGCCTGCTGGCCATGGGCTGCTGACCACGGTGTGGGACACGCTGAGGGCTGACTGGCAGAACCACCCTTAGAGGAGGATGTGGCCGCTGTTCCCATTTTACAGATGGGAAACTGAGGCTCAGGCAGCCAGCAAGGGGCAAATCTGGGCTCAAACCCAGGTCTGTTTGACTCTCAGCCCCATGCTTTTTCCCCTGCATCTACTTTGAGGACTAAGCTGCGTGGGGCCAGAGGGGTGGGCGTCACCTCACACATGAGGGCCGACATTTCACATGACAGGCTCCACTGGGCCTGCCTCCCCCGACGTGGTGTCCAAATGCCCAGAGCCAGACACTGGCATTAACACAACTACAGTATACGTGGGGTCAGGTGTGTCTTAATGACAGGGGATGGATCAGTTTGCTTCTTTTTTTTAACATCCTTCCAACTTATATGTATTTTAACTTATTTGGAAACAGTTTTAGCACTTAAGTAAGAGTTCTAAAAACATTACACAAAATTGCTATATACCATTCACCTGGCTTCCTTTGATGTTATCACTTTATGTATCCTCTGTATAATGATCTAACTCAGGAAATTAACACGGACACAGTATCAGTAACTACCTACAAATCTTAGCTGAATTCACCAGCTGTCCACTAATGTCCTTTCTCTGGTCAACAGGCCGACTAAGACTGAGGCTCGTGAGCATGTTCATTATGGTGGCAGGTGCTCCAGACCCAGGTGACCATGAAGAATACAGAGACACTGGCTAGAGAGGCAGGCCCAGTTCCAGCCACCCCTGCACACAGGGCCAGCCAGCCTTCAGCACTGGTCAGGGCTACCCCAAGAAAGACCAGCCCGCCTTCAAAGAAATGCCAGGCTGGCTGGCTAGACAAGTGGGGTGGTGGGACCCCTGGGCTTCAGAACAGTCTTGAACTTCAAAAGACCCGGGAGTTAGCCTGGTCAGAGGTAACAGCCTGGGCTTTGCAGCTGTAGCAAAATCACCAGGTAAGTCATGTGCCTTCTGTATCTGGACACATGGTAATGCCTTCCTCTCAGAGTTCCAGTGGAGACTAGAGACAGTATGTAAAGTGCACCCCCATCCAATGCATGATGGCTCCTGGCCCCCTCTCCCAAGCGGGGAAGCATAACAAATTTGCTGTTTAGATGTAACCAGTTAGTGGGGGGAATTACCACTGGGGAGGAATGCTCGGAAGAGGGGATGGAGGGACACCAATTCTTTCATCTGTGTTTTTCCTACTGTTTCTCACAAAGAACTTAAGGTGGGGATGGGGCTTCTAAAGACATCCGTGGGTGGCGTAAACAGTTAAGCGCTCATCTATTGGCTGAAAGGTTGGCAGTTCGAACCCACCCAGAGGCATCTCGGAAGAAAGACCAATTTGCTTCCAAAAGGTCACAGCTTTGGAGCACAGTTCTGCTGTGTACACATGGGGTCACCATGTGTCAGAACTGGTTGTGGTTTTACCAGAGCTCTCAGGACAGGAGTAAAGGGCACTGGCAACTACGCCTACTGGCTCAGCTACTTTCAGGCCTCAGTCATTTTCCCTTTAAATGGGAACAACACTTTCCTTCCGGAGGAGCAGGGTAGGGCTGTCACCCACCTCTTCCAAAGGGCCCACTGACCCTGCCCCGGCCCCTGGCGTGGCAGTGGGCAGAGGCTCCTTCCTGGCGCCCCTGCCTCACGCCCAGGACAGCACAAAGAACATATCCGTGTCTGAAGCACACACTGGCCCTGAAGGCCAGAAGCACTGGGAGAATCATAGAAAACATGCCCAGGGCCTGAGGAGACCACGTGGAGGGTGGCGTGCACAACTACTGCCAGGGACAAAAAAGAGTGACAAGAACGGGGGGAAGGAGCCGCTGGAGAGGACAGAGGCGGTGTGAGAGGGTGGGGCTGGGAAGACCTACCGTCCTTTAGCTTCTCGTCCTGGGGGAAGGGCCCGTCTGGGAGGACATCTGCAGCAATGAGCACCGTCCGGGAGTCCTCCAGTACCTGGGGCAGCACTGGGGCTGAGCACCGGGCAGAGCCCGCTCAGCCTGGTCCACCCACCAACTTCAGCCCCAGGAAACTCCTCTGTGCAGGCAGACCCCTCCTCACTGCATACCATCCCCGAGGGAACTCCTACTCATCCGTCAGTGCCCACATCGAGGCCACCGGTGCTGCCCTTGTGAAAGGCCAGGGCTGTACCCTGGCCTGCCGCCGGCCCATGCGCACCTTAAAGAGCCCCTTGAGCATGACGTCAAGGATCCTGTACTGCTGGTGGACGTCATCCAGCTGTGCCAGGTTCTTCAGAGCCAGCAGCTGCTCCCGGCGCTTCACCTCAAACATCTTCTTGTCTAGGAGCAGTAAGCTAAGGGGCTGCCACTGGGAATCCTGCCTGGATAGGTCCAGTGGTCCCGATCCCCACCAGTGAGAACCCCTAGGGGCCCTGGATGCTAGGCCTAGGACCCCAAGGAAGGACCCAACTGTGCGAAGAGTGTATGTGTCCTGGAATGTGACATGTGTCCAGTTGACAAGGGACTCCACACCCAACAGCCTAAACCCAAGCTTGTACCTCCTTCCTCTGGGGTCTTCCTGCCATCTCCCACAACTACTCCACATCTCTATTCATGGTGCCCTCTGCCTGAATGTCCCAATCAACTTCTCGATGAGTTCCTATTCTTTCAAGACCCAGCTGAAAAGCCACAGTACCATGTCCTCTGCCCCCTCTTGTGCCTCGCCAGGGCATTGGCCACAGAGTGAAAGGACGATTCGTGTAGCGACTGGGAACTCCTCAAAGCCCAGGGCTAGTCCTAACTCGTCTTTGTGTTCCAAAAGCCTGGCCCAGAGGAGGCGTTCCAGCACACCACGGTCAGGGCAGGCCAGCAGTCCACAGTAACACGGAGTTTCCTGAGTCCCTGCTCAGGGTTTCACACGTAGGTGCCGGGCACCTGTTCTGCCTCACTGAGCCCTGGTGATGCTCAGGTGTGTGCTAGCTTCTCCATCCGATATCTGGGGAAACTGAGGCTCAGAAGGTAGGTGACTCGCTGAAGGTCTGCCTAGAGGGCCTTACCTCCTCTCTCCTGTTTTCACTGGTGGGGCCTGCTCTCCATCCCTGGAATCTCCCAAGGGCTTATGGCTATAGAGAGACCCCATTCTCAGAGCCCCGTCACTCCACTCTCAATTGAAAGGATACAGATCTCCAGGCTCGGGTGCAGGGAGGTTCTCAGGGTCCCTGTGGCTCCCATCTCAGATAGTTCCAAGGCAAAGAGGAAGGCCAGATACTGAAGAAGGTCCATGTCCACGACCCTGGAGTCCAAGGAGTAAGCCAGACAAAGTTGTGAGAGCCCAGACTGGTGTCATGCCAAAGAGCGCATGCAGGTGAACAGCAGCTTCCCAGGAGGGATCCTAGTCCTGACTTGGCACAGCCTTCAAACACCAGAACCTGGCCTCGGGGATAGGGGCCTGAAGCAGGCATACAATAGAGCGTGGGATGGCAGGCGGGAAGAAGGAAGGTAACTGTTAGGAATGGAGGAACACTACAAGCACAGGGGCCGGCATCCAAGAGCCCTGGCCTGCCCGACTATGGGACATCAGCAAGTTGCTTAGCCTCTCTGAACCTCAGCTTCCTCTCCTGTAAAATAGGAATAAAGCCACCTGTCTGCCGCAGGGAGGGAGGACTGGGTGAGGCACTGTGCCCACTGACCAGACAGGATGGAGAGGCTGGTTAGTATCATTTCCCCTTAGGCCCCACTCTGGCTGCCCAGGAAGGTGCCTGGTTCAGGAGGCACAGGCCAGGTGCAGGGGATGTGGAATTTCTGGCTTTCCCTCCTCCCGTGACTTTTCATGAAAAAGGGAGGGCGACAGGACAGACCTGGGGAAGAGGGCTGCCCCTCACGACTCCCCATGCAGCACCTGCTCCTTTCAGACAATGGTCCACAGTGCTGGGCACCCACTCCATTCCAGGCATGGGGTATTACCAGCAAAACCCCCTGCACCAATGGCACTTATGTTCTGGGGAGGGGGTAAGAGACAACTGATAAACTTGTAAAGAAGACGGAAGGAAGAGCAAGGTCATGGTCAAAGTACAGTGGTCAGGGAAGGCCACGAAGGTGACAGCTGCCCAATGTTATCAATAAGGATCCCAAGGCCCAGCAAAGAGGCTACTCTCCCAAAGCCACACAGCTATTCCCAGCCCGCCCAGAGTCTATTTGACTCTCATCCCAGTGCTCAGTCTCCTGTCTCTTTCTGAACGGACACAGGCTGCCTCCGAGCTGACCACTGTTCTACCAGGATCCCTGCCCCACGGACTAGAGGCTGTCATGGACGGTGGGAGCCTAAAGTGGCACCGAGGTCACTGCCACGACCCCTCACGAGACAGTGAAGTCCAGAGAAATGGCAGGAGTCGCCCGAAATCAGGACTGCCCACCCTCCACTTCACGCGCCGGACCCAAGGGTCCCAGATTGGACCCCGGCTAGGGCAGAACCTGGAGGTAGAGTGTATGAGATAGGTGGCAATGGACGAAGCAGGGAAGAAGTGCGGAAGGCAGCTGAAAACCTGGGCTTCGGGGGCGGAAGCTGCCTTCTCACCGTTACTCCCACCACACCGACCTCTCCACGCCGCTTCCCCGCCGCGCGGGCCCCAAGCGCTTCCCCGCTCGGCGGGCGACTTTGAGCCCATTCTGCAGATGAGGAAAATGAGCGGCGACGCGGCGTTGGCGTGCCCTGGGCCGGGTACCCGGGTTCTCGGACCCGGGCTGCTGCCCGTCTTGGGGATTCCGGAGAAAGGTAATCTTTCTAATATGGACAGGGGCCCGGGGCGGCGTCCACTCCCACCCCCTGCAGTGGGTTCAGCCCTCCGATCCCCCGACGCCTCGCCACCACCTACCAGCCCGGGTCGTGCGGGAACCGGCGGCGGTCAGTCCCTCGGGCGCGGTACGAGGGTCGCCAGCGGAGCCGCAGACACAAATCCGGAGCACACTAACAGCGCAGCGCAGACCACTGCGCGCCGCCCCGCCCACCGCGGCGCTTCGGCCAATGAGCGCCGGCCGCGACCGCCGCGCTCCCTGACCCTACTTCCGGCCCCGCCCCGCCGCGCCTTTGGGATCCGGTCTTACCTTGCCCGCTTTGCGCCCGGGCTCGGACCGCCCCGGGTTTACGCTGTGCAGGGTGGCATTATCTTCATGTGGGGTCGGTGCCCTTAAAGGGCGCGTCAGCAAACGGGGCCCTAGCCTTGTGGGCGGGCGACCGCCCACTCGCCCTCCCAGACCTGTCATCGTCTGACCATGTGTGAACTGCAGTTCGCGAGACCGGTTCAGTCGGTCATGAGCAGCACTTTCTTTTGCTTTTAGTCTTTTTCGGGGAACTGGCAGAGCCCGCGGTGTGAGGCTGGGCGGTCGGCGCTCTCCCCTCCAGCCCAGTGAGTTTGCCGCGGCTTCCGCCTGTGCGTTAGGACCGAGTTGAGCCGCCTTCTGCGGGGAGGAGGGGCGATGGCCTCGACCTCCGGGGCGTCGCTGGGCGGGAGGGGCTCAGTGGCCCGGTCGGGCGAGCTGGGCATCCGAGCGGTCGCAGAGCGGAGACACTGAATGAGCAACAGCACACGTGGGTAGTTTAATGTGAAGTCTATGGAGGGCTGTGGAGGCAGGAACAGGAAGAGCTGACCCGACCTCCTTCAGCCCGGTAAGTTTCGCCCAGTCAGGACCTCCGAGAATGGTTCCACCCTTCTGGCCTGGAAATTGCATCCCTGTCTACCTGCACGTGAGGCGTGGGGGCAGGTGAAGTGCCTCTCAGAGTCCCCACCACAAGGGCCTCTGCACCCCCAAGTCCGGGAGACGGGACAGCCTGGCTGGTGTTCCCTGGCCGCAACGAGGCACCAGCTGATGTTCCTAATGTGTGGGAACCTCCCCGCCGCTTGATCCCAGGAGGCAGCCATCTTTCCTCGCTGAAGCATTAGCTGTCCAGCTAGCGGAGGAGCCAGCTCAGGGGTGCTAAGACCAGAGTGGAAGGCTTTGGGGAGCCCATGCACGCAGGTAAGGGTGTCTGTCCTGATTCCAATTCAACAGTGGAGCGGGTCAACAAGTGAATGGCTGCAGTGGCCATCCATTTCTTCAACAATCAGCCGTGACTTTGTCTCCAGGCCTCAGTCCTCTCCATCTCTGGGCCTTGCAGTCCTGAGGGTCAGTTTCTGATGTGGGACAGGGATACGGCCACTCCTCCCAGGCAGCTGCAGCAGTTCATGAAAGGAAAATGCTAGAGAGGTGGGGCCCACCATGGGGGACCACGTTTTCAGAACCCAAACAGGTCAGAGGAGAATAGAGGGGCTCCCAGAAAGAGTGAGACAAAGTATAAAATGGTATGGGAGCAGCTGTTCTGGGTAGTTCCCGTGTGACAGGGAAGGGTGGGACAAGAGCCAGGGAGGCGGTGGTGGGTGGAAAGGACACCCCCTTCTCCCCCCTCCTCCCTGGGACCAGCCTCTAGGGCACCACAGTGACTCCTGGGGGCGCTTTCTGAGGGACACCAGTCTCCCCATGTGTGGGGCTGACGGACGCTCTTGTGCTAACCGAGTGTGGGGGCTTCTCTCCAATGCCTGTGGGGAAGGCCAAGATCCTTCCTGAGTGTGCTGCTGTGGCTTTGGACACAGACGAATCCAGGTCAAATCCTGATGCTGCCACTTACTAGCTGTGTGATCCTGGGTGCCTAGTTTTCCCTGTCAGTTTCCTCCTCCAGGAAGGGGGGTGGGGTCATCATAGCCCACAGGGATACAGCCCTCACGACCAGACCCGCGCACCAGGCGCTGCTCTAAGCGCTTTGCACACATCAGCTCTGTCCTCAGAACCCCCTGGAGGCAGGCATCACACCCACACCACCGCTGCAGGGCTGCAGTGGCTGCTGCGTGTGAGATCCAGGGAGTGTGCACCTGGCCCTCAGAGCGTGAGTAAGGAACAAACGACTGCTGTTCCCAACCTGTTCACTCTCACTGACCCCTCCTTGCCTGAGAGCCCAAGGCCATAGACAGCGTACCTCTCTTGAAGCTCTCCCAGGGCTGGGGAGCCCCTCATGATGCCATCCATAGCCCCCAGTGGTGGGGTGACCTTGCCTAGGCCAAGGCTCCCCAACGCGAGAAAGGATACAGCATGTCTTGCAGGGGTGACTGGGCTGAGAAAGCCTGGGGCAAAAGGCCCTCCAAGGATGCCTGTAGTGTCTGGGCTGTGCTGGGATCGGCCAGGAGGCCCACACGCTGGACCTGAGGGATGAGAGGGTGGCAGTCAGGCCTGGTAGGTGTCTACCCTACACGAGCCCATGACTGCCCCTTCCTCACAGTTGCCAACATCGACTCCCTACTTCCTATATTCCCGACCCCCTATCAGCTGCTGTGACCAGAGGGTCGGTCTCATAGGGCTCCGTGGCACCCCCTCCCCATACCTGCAGGAAGAAGCCACGCAGAGCCTGCAGTGCAGTGCTGGAAAGTGCAGACAGGTCCACCATCGCCGCATCTCGTAGGACATGACCCACTTCTTCAGGAGAGAGGGTGGTGGTGCTCCGGAACCGCACAAACTGACCCGGGGAGAGATGCCCACACCCAATGGTCAGCATCGCTCTCACCCAGATGCGTCCTGGGCCCCACCATGACAGCATTACGCTGGGAGCACAGGCTGGAAGCCCACAGGACCTCAGCCTTCAAGGAGCTCACAGTGAAGGGGCAGGGACCTTGCAAGAGCTGGCTCCGGATGGCCCCTCAGCCTTGCCCCTCACCCTTCCACCACCTTGCGTGTCGCGTGCACGGCCAAAATGAGCTGTGACTGGGCCCCTAACGCACCACTCCATGCTCTTGTACCTGCTGTTCTTATCATCTGAGACATTCCCTCCTCTGCCTATTTGTCTTTCAAGCCTCAGCTAACGTTACCTCTGCTGGAAGTTCTTCGCTTTTATTAAACAGGCATTTCTCAAGTGCCAACTCCATGCCACTCCCACATCCCTCCCAGCTTGGACAGAAGCAGTGACCTTTCTCTGTGTGTCAACGCCAACCGTGGGGTGGCTTGTGGACCCGCCGTTACTCACTGGGTGCTGCCTGTGTGCCAGGCACTGTGTACATCCTCTGTGTCACCACTGGCAATACTGTTGCCACTTGTAGCTTACTTGCTATCTGTGTCCTCCTCTAGG